ACTTATTTTTGAGAATCTGGGAATTTTCAGCGATTTCTGATCAAAAATCTAATACGATTCTTGACTCCACTTGTAAGTATTACTAGAATACGCTTCATGGTGATACCATCTGTCAACACATGAAGCTGACCAATTTCTTTTCGAATTGTCTGGTGCGAATCTATTCAATTCTGATCTATGAGCTTTGGCATTTCTGCGCCTGTGCTGGTATTCCACCTGGGCTACTTGATTTTTAATTTGTATAGAAAAAATATTTTTCTATACTTTATTCAGTGTAAATAGTTTATCTGCTCCGGTGTCCCATAGCGCTTTCAAATGTGTTGTTAATAAAATAGGAACGTGGGGGAAGTTCTACGGGTGATATACATATCGGAGAAAGCCTAATTGTCTCTCTTAATAGACACCTCTTGAGGTTGATCTTTAACCTTTACACAATATTTAGTAAATACATGCATCCTATCGCCTCGACTGAAATTTTCACTCGAACCCTATTTCTGATACCTCTATTAAAATTATCATTTCACTCTTAAAATGACCGCTATTGTTGTCTCTGATCATTATTCTGACCTATTCCTCTAGACCCTCTATTACTTTGACGGCTGTACTCATTATTAAAAATCGCTTCTACTGTTATTTGGTCTACGTCCTATTTCGAATTCCCTCCAGTTTCTACCATTAGCATCAAAATTGGGCATCCGATGCGCACATTTACTCGTCTTTCTATATTGTATCGTTCTGCGAAGGCCTTTTAATTTGCAAGAGTATCTATACTGGGAATTTGGCAAGACTTTAAAGTTGTATCGTGTTTGTAAGAAAGTTTCTCACTTCCACATAATCTTGGATCTGTGGTTCGAGTCGAACTAAAAATATGATCCACTAACTCTGCTTAGGACATTCTAATTCTAAACTTCTCTCTATTTTTTAATAATTGATAAAACAAAAATCAGATGGTTCCTGATTTCTTTCTTCCTGCTGGGACGCGTAGAATTGCGTTTGCAATTCTCTTATCTGATGACGCAGGAAAAGCCTTCGCTAATTCAACTAGCAAACTGCATAGAAATCGGCATTTTGCACCAACGATCTCAAACCATCGGAATACCAGAAATCTTGAGCCCCTTCCCTGGGAATGAGCTTTTTAAAGTAGAAATTTTTGTGATTACTTGGGATTTTAAATGCTGTATATTTATTCTCAATAGATTTCGATAAACTCTGCAATGTTCTCTGACCCTGAAAAGTACATTTCAGTTAGAACAGTACTTCCACCACCATTACAACAAGTGCCATTAGAACTTCGTGTGACACTTAGCCATCGTAACTGACTATGTCGTTCCATTCCGCGTAAGCTAGAGGTGTGGGATTATCAAAGGATGAGACATAGTAGTTCTTAATACAAGCTTTATTAGAATAGCTTATATTACTTAATTCTAATTTGACAACTTTTATTTAAAGTGAGAGTTAACACCAATTAAACCTTGTATTTAAGTCAGATCGCAACTAGATCCTTTATCTTAATTATAATAAATAAAGCGATTCATCCTAACTACCTATACCAAATATTACCTTTTGCAGATCTCCTTCCTTCACCTATAGAGAGATATCTATAAATTCACTTTATATACGACGATTCCAACTTCTTTTATATTGGACTTCTATTCCTTCCAAAGCTATCGGACTGCTAACTCTTGATCTGAAGATTCCACACACTAAGCTATCTCTAAACTTGCCGCGCTCTATTATCATCAAAGCTTCTATCCTTTTTAAAAAGTATCTCTCATTTACATATTTTACATTTGTTTATCTTCTTGAGTGACGGGTTTGGAAAGGTTTGCCATTAATCGTAGCGTCAAAAACATACAGAATTTATGTGCCCAGAAAGGACGCGAGAACGTCACAAAGGGCGGTGTGAATGTTTCCCAATTCTGCACTAGTGGCGGCATATTCGTCGCTGGTTGCTGAATTTAATAGAAGTTTCACTTACCCAGATGGCGTAAGAGTCTCTAAAGAGATTTATAGTTCTCTTACTGATTTGTTGGTTATCGTAGATGAATGCGTCAGTAATCACGAATCTGGAATATGAGGATGGTATGTGGACATTATTGATAATTCCAATTTGAGTCAAATCCATGTGTCATTAGCGGTAGCCATAATTCGGTCAAGGTCAAAAGGATTGGAAGCAAGTCAAAATAACTGCATTTATGGCTGTGCAGTCGCAGGCAACGAAATGAGATCAGAAAACTAACATTATTAGGCGGAGTGCAGGCTGATCCTGGAGAAGGAAGCAAGCAAAGCTACAGCAGAAGAAAAGCAGAAGAATTTCCGATGGAGAAAAGCTCGAGAAAACGAGCCTCTCGCTATTGAAGGCGTATTATGCAATCTATCAACTCCAATTTATTATCATCCTAACTACATATATTGAACTTCAGTATCAGGTGGTATAATTTTGCCACACTTTCATAGGTCAGATTTCAAACCTCGTTCTGGTGTTCAACGTATTTTTAGCCTTTCATCCTTTATATTGCGTCGATAAGACTATTGTATCAGCTTTGGCGAGACTGCTTACTGGTAATTTAGCGTCGAACAAACCAACTAACGGATCTGCGGCACTGCACCTGAGGTGCTCAAGTTACGAAAAACAGAAATGGGCATTACAGCAGGTCGTGACTCTTATAGATTGTTGAGCCACTGGTTTGGGGAAACTACATATGTATTAGCTCAACTGAATATTTTTCGCATATTTGGTTCTCAACAATACACAGAAATATTTTAATTGAAATAGTTAAAAAATCTACTATATTTGCCCTCCGGCCAGGCACATCGGAAAAACTCTAGAAATATCCGTCACGGCAGACGAATTTACCCGCAATGCCTTTTTTTTTTTTTTTTTTTAGAGTTTGGCTACCACCGGGACTGTTTTAAATATTCCTTATCGGTATTGAAAGTATCTCACAGAACGATGACTTATTGAACCTTTGAAACATACGAACCATTCCACAGTCTCCATCATGCCAGCTGAGCCATTGTGGTTTTCAAACATTCTTTAACGTAGAAGGAATTTTCCCTTTTTTGTAGCAGGTGACCACACTGCTGTTTTAAGAATCACATCCCTTACAGAAGAAGACATCACTCCGCATCAATACACTTTCCTGTTTTGTCTCCTATAACAGCACACACACCAACACGAGAGAAGAATAGCACACTGGTTTTCACGTTCCATCTCCACTAATTATTATATCAGAAAATTTGTCAAAGTTACCACTTCAAAGCTGCACTTGCATTGAAGCTTCATACCTTCTTTTACTACAATTACGGTTTGTTTATAATATTATTATAGGTTGCTTACCGGCAACTGGAGGAGGAGAAAGTCCATAACACCACAGAAAGTTGTCATTGCTGCGTGACCCTATCCAATTGTCCTCATTGCATTACTAAAGCGTCTGTTTATTTCTGGAATGTTTTTCTTTTTACCCAGCATTTTTGAATTTCTAAACGAACATAAATCTTTACAATTCTTTGCATTCAATCGAAAAAACACTAGACAAACCTCTAACACATTTCTGTGAGTTCAATATCTCCACATTTTTTGCAAGAAGCAAAGTTTTGAATGTTTGTAAAAACATAATAGTTTTATCAAACCCCTCTATATACATCGAAACCGTCATCATGTTCAAAAAAGATGAATCAATATCTTTGCAACTGAATCTTTTTTCCAGATGCATTGTTGTTTGATGTTTCATCCACACTGTGTACAGCTTTGCACCTCATTATTACCTTATTACCAGTAAACTTCCTTTTTCTTGGGACGTTTACCAGATGATCATTTAGCAGATTCAAATCAAGATTCATCATTCAAAAGTTTTAAAAAATTAATATTTTTCCTAAAACTTATTTTAGAATAAGATACTATGTGAAAATCAGAAAACGAGCGAGTATAAAATGCAAATCACTTTTAAAACAAAACAGCAGTTTATAAAATGAAAGTAGAAGTTGTAGTTAATAAACCAGAACAAAGAAAATAATATATATTTGAGGCTTAGATTCAAGCATTTGATAATAAATAGAATATGAAAATATTAGAAACAGAGAAAACGCAACTGTCACCAACGACATGACAGCTGTCACTTATGAAACCGAAATGTAAACAATATTTAAAATTCACTTTTCTGCTCTTTTATTTTCTTAATAACTTCCGTGATATTGCGAATATCTACGTACGGTTTCTTTTAAAAAACTCAGAAAGGTTGCTCTATATAAAATAAAATAATAATAAAAAATCGATTTTTCCGGAAATTTTAAAGATTATATGACCCCTTAATCGAGAGTGATCGCATGCATATAAAAATATACAGCACGCGTTTTCGGTGAGATCAGCTCCATGCTTGATCACGTATTTGTAACGCCACCAGTGAGGATGGAACTCGACCCTGGTTTACAAGACCAGTGCTCTGCCACTGAGCTATGATTGCGACGGATTACGTTCATATTACTCAATGCACATTTTTGTTTCTTTCGCTACATTTCTCTCGTAGATTAGTTTGAAATATATATAATGAGACACATTTCTCTTCCAAAAATGACATTCTATTAAGGAGTAATTAACGCGGATTAATCGAGAGCGTCCGCAAGCACAATAAAGAAAAAATATACAGCACGCGTCTTTCGATTAAAACAACTCCATGCTTGATGCGTATTTGTAAAGCCACCAGTGAGGATTAGACTCACGACCCTGGTTCCTAAGGCCAGTAACTGCCACTTTGAGCTATAGGGAGCAACGGATTTCATTCATATTACTCAATGCACATTTTTGTTTCTTTCGCTACATTTCTCTCTTAGGTTAGTTTGAAATATATAATGAGACACATTTCTCTTCCAAAAATGACATTAATCTCGTAATGAAATTAACCCGGTTTAATCGAGAGTGATGGAAAGCACTATAAAAAGAAAAATATGCAGAACTCGTCTATCGATTAGAAACAACACCATGCGTGATGAAATATTTCTAAAGCCACCAGTGAGGATCGAACTCACGACCCCTGATTTACAAGATTAGTGGTCTGTCACTGAGCTATGATGGCGACGGATTTCATTTATTTTACTCAATGCCTACTTTTGTTTCTTTCGCGACATTTCCCTTGTAGATTAGTTTGAAATAATGAGACACCTTTCTCTTCCAAAAATGTCATTCCTCTCAGGTTGAAAATATTCCGGATTTAATCGAGAACGATCGAATGCACTATAAAAAGAAAAATATGCAGAACGCGTCTTTGGATTAGAAACAACACAATGCTTGATCAAGTATTCGCAAAACCACCTGTGAGGATCGAACTTACGACCCCTGGTTTACAAGATCATTGATCTGCCACTGAGCGGTGATGGCAACGAATTTCATTCAATTTACTGAATGCATATCTTTGTTTTTTCGCGACATTACTATCGATGAATTCGTTTGAAATAATGTGTGTGAGTCACTCTCTTTATTTAACAAACTACGACTTTGCTTTAGAAGTAACAAATAAGTCCAGTTAAATCGAGAAGGTTCAAATTCACCCAAAAATGAGAAATATATTTTACTCTCTCTCTCATCTCTTATTTATAAAGAATATCCGGCTTGGGGAAGCATTTGAAAAGTAAGCATTTATTGTCGAGAGTTAGCGTCTTCGGGTTTAAAAGACATTTTTTTTAACTGTGATATTCTTAACGGTTTTCACCTTCATAGTACTTTTATATCATTGTGTTCTCGGTGGAATTTCATCTCTCTCATCTCGTCCGGTATTTTATATTTGGATTTGTCATGTGTGTGTGTGTGTGTGTGTGTGTGTGTGTGTGTGTGTGTGTGTGTGTGTGTGTGTGTGTGTGTGTGTGTGTGTGTGTGTGTGTGTGTGTGTGTGTGTGTGTGTGTGTGTGTGTGTGTGTGTGTGTGTGTGTGTGTGTGTGTGTGTGTGTGTGTGTGTGTGTGTGTGTGTGTGTGTGTGTGTGTGATTTGTTGAATAAATACTGTATTAATCATTTTTCTGTTTGGAAAAACGAAACTGACTTAATGTCTTATATCTAGGAAAATATCCTCTGAGTGTAAACATTGATTTTTTTTAAATCCATGTTCTACTAAATTCTTTATAATTATAGTCAATAGCAGATATATATTACTTTCTTTTTTAACTCTTTTTACTTTTATATTGTAAATCTTCTTTTATCAATATTTAACTTGATTAATATAAATTTATATTCAATCCATAAATTTTTCATTTTTATGACATAAATTTTTTTCCTAATGGATTTAATTTGTTATAAAATATTTTTCTCTATATTGTACAGTGTGATGTTTTAAATGTTTTAAGTTTTAATTAAATGATTTTTATCTATGTGTTTGACATAAAATATATCATTTCTAAATTTGGCTCCATACACACAAATGTCTAAACATCTATCCCTCCCACTCATGGCTTCAAAATACGAGGTACTTACCAAAAAGAAACAGTATTATTATCCTCTCATCCTATTTAATAAGAAAAAGAGAATAGTGGTAGAGAAAGTTCCATAAAATTTAAAAGATGCTATCAAAATCATTAATAACAGCTCAGAGCCGTTCTAAAAGAAAGCTTCTCACCTGTAGTTGAGGACATAGTACCGGTGAGAGAGCAAGAAATAATTCAATTGGCAAGTATGAAACATATTTAATGAGGCACCATCGGAGAGGTGGCGAAAGTATCATACTGTACACTACAATTCAGACCTTTCTTTTGCTGAACGAAATCGAAAGTAGACACAGAATTTGGAAGATAAAAAAAGATAAAATGGAAGTAAAATTAATGCCGTGGTACGTGATGTTAAAATAAAGGGGAAGGACAAACACTGCTGGATAATTGTAGTGACGACAGGTGGAAGTGTCGCTGAACAGCGATTGAAAAAAGAGCAGTGAGCCACAAGAAAGTGTCCTATCTGTTCTATCTGCTTTGGAAGATGAGTAAAATAAAAGATGATCCACAAAGATATTGGAAAAAGGAGAATGAATTGACATGGGAATTAAACTACCACATAAGACCGATTTAGAATGTGGGTTTAAGTCGAACTAATTTAATGGAGATGAAATCTTGCACAAAATGACAAAAGTTAAAATTAGAGAAGAATTTAAAAAAAAATTTTTTGAAAAGAGTTATCTAAGACTATATTCAGAATTTCCGAAATCTTTTAAGGACTAGGAAATGCTGATATATGTCAGTGAAAAGAGCAGCTCTAGGTCTTTTTGCAGAGCTTGGGACCGAGTTATCGTAAGCAGGGATGACTCGGATAGGAATATTAGGTAATCTGTCAAAAAACTTTTTCGATTGATTGTTAATGAAATCAAGAATTGTATCAATTTTGAGATCTTTGTGCAAGATTTCATTCTGACTAAACAGAAACTTTAGTAATTTTTCTAGGTGTTTATTTTTTGAAAAACATGCAGATTTTCAAGTGAGTTACTGCAGCAGAAGCCCAGATGGGAGATGCATATAACAAAGGTGGTTTTAGAAATAATTTATAGAGCAAAACCTTGTGTTGTTTGATTGGGAGACTTACACTTTCGAGAAATTAAGCAATTGAGCGTTTGGCTCATTCCTGAAGCTTTTGAAGCGCAGCACGGATATGGGGGAGAAGTTCAATTTTTGTCGAGAATGAATCCTAGGTACTAAATTCGACTCAGGGACAGGTTGGTCAAAAATGTTGATATTATGGGGTAAGGATTTCTATACACCTTTGCTTCGTAAAGAGGGGAGGATTGCGCTTTTGATGCATTTACTTTGATTTTCAAACGGCAGGCAGAGCTGAAGCCTTAGCTGATGTAATTTTGTAATCTTTCAATAATTTTGAAATTACAAGATGTGTTGATAATGATAGTAGTGTCATCCATACATAGTTAAATGGACAGTTGTCAACCTTCGGAATGTCGTTAATATATATAAGTTAAAAGTCTTGGTGAAGCAAACCTCCTTGAGGAATTTCACTTTTTGCTGGACGGGCTGGAGGCAGTTTTTCGACTCTGGCTCACAAACTCTCTCGAGTTTGGGTATAAGTGAATAATTTTAGGATTTGGTCCAAGAATCAAGTCTCATCATCTTGAATATTAGCCATCATGCCAAATTTTGTCAAAGGCTGTGGCTATGTCCACAAAGAACATACCTGTGGCCTGACTGTTTTAGAGCTTATACACGTAGAACCAAATTCCAGTGACTCTGGAAATCAAACTAAGGTTCTTAAGAGCACGTAGTTACAAAGCCATGCTGTTCTGGAATAATAATATTCCTGGCCAAGCAGTGTTGGTTCAGGCGGTTCAAAATCACGAATTCGTATGTTCTACTCAAGCTTTTAAGTAGTGAGATTGGACAATAATTTTGAGGATTAGAGTCATCAGAGTTGGGTTTAAGAATGAGGATCACTACGGCCATCCTCCAACTTTTAGGGAAGTAGCAATTTTCCAAAGCATGTTGAACAGCAAAGCAATGAAAATGATAAATTTAGTTGGAAGATTTTTAAGGATACGATTTGTGATGAGATCAATTCCAGGAGATTTGTTTGGTTTGAGATTTTTAATGAATTCCTGTATTTCAGAGGGAGATGTTTTTTCCAGATCCATACAGGTAGGGGAGTCAAGGAATCTTTGGACCTTCCTTTGTATATGTGCAGAGAATATAGGATTCTCTACATCAGTATTTGGTTCAAATTGTTTTTGAAGGCTGTCCGCAAAAGGCGAAGGTTTTGAAGGCTGTTGTGATTGACCTCGGCCTTTTCAATCGGGGTAACTGCGATTCTGCCGAGAGACCCCTTTAGGGGGGAATGTCATGAAAAGGCTTTTTGAGAAGGGAGGTACGCTTCCAAAGAGTGCCTGTTTCGGGTGATAACTCCTCAATTGTTTTTCTCTCCATTTTGACGGGGAGGGTGTCTGATATATCATTGGCTGTCTCGTTTGCTGATACTACGAGTTCATTTTTAGAGCAGGGTCTCTAGATCTTTGCAAAATCTCATTACCCTATTTCTGTGACAATTTTTGGAGCGACGAATATCTGGAGGTAATTTAATAGGTGCGGTTTTAAATTTGGGTTTTGAAGCAGCCACAAGTGCTTCGGAGATATTTTCTCAAAGCCGACCAATCGCAACGTCGAGATACTAATTGCTGGGAGACTCCGGAATGGGGAGTGGCTTATTTTTAAGAAGGAATCGGAAGTTCTCCCAATTGGTGGAGAGTTGCGTTGGAGATTTTCATGGTATCCAGGATTGGTGTATAGAGTTAAAATGAACGGTAGATGATCAGAACAAAAATCATCTATAACTCCTATATCATAATTAAAGGGATGTTTTTAAAAACAGCCGGGTCGTATTAGTCACGTACTCCCCGGCCGAAGAACGTGAATTAATATGTCATCGGAGTGTAAAGATTGCAACAATCCTTTATTAGGATAATTTTGAATAATTCTTTTAAGACCAAAGCCAAAATTGTTCGACCTGTGAATTATTCCACGTTTTTGAGCAGCGTTAAGGTCTCCAGCAATGATTAAGTTATTACCTGAATTTAAAATTTTTGAAAATCCTTTTCGGGGAATTTTTTGATGATTTCCGCACAAGAACGAGCAAGAAACTACTAGGAGGGAAATTTATTAATTTTAATTTCGATAGCACCTAGCATCCATATACTATATCCCCGGTAAAGGGACTCGGCTTTAGAACCAAATTACTTTTACAGTATATAGTGGGTACCTCTTGCGATGACTGCAGATTCTAGGAAAATTACACGAATCATCTTTATAAGGTGGTAGTTTACTGTGCAATCAGGTGTTCCTGACCAGGTTCTAGTTTGGTTTCTTGGTTAAAATGAATCAGATTTTTGCTCCAAAACAGAATCTCTACGACCTACCATGAATTTTGGAGCCTGAACTTAGTTTTGCGTTCAAAAAACCAGTGAAGAGAGATTGATTGCACGTTTGCTGCGATTGTAAGTTAGGCCGAATTGTGGGCAACATAATTAAGCCCACGGTACAACTCGACGACCTGAAAAATTTCTCAGACCTTATCGTCAGGATGAGAAAGTTTTCGAATTAGCACAAGT